TACAGTTTCTCTTGGTCAGAAGTCTAGTTCTGGTTCACTGCTCAGCTGTCCCAGGTTGGCACTTTGATCTCATCTGAGAGTTAGGGCAGTTTTCTGAGATCACTGGTTGTTAGTAGAATCCAATCTCTTTGCTGACTCTAGACTGGAGACCTCTGCCAGCTCTTAGAAGCTGGTCTCAAGTCTTTGCCTCAAGGGACCATCCATTGCAGGACAACCTCACCATTCGGGATGGGCCCAGCTCTTCTTTTAAGGACTCACCTGATTCTGTCCCATTCAGTCCCATTCATACAGAATTAAGTTTTTGATGAACTTAGAGTCATTTGACTGGTCACATAATCATGTGAGTTTCCCACGGTATTTACAAGTGTCACCCACACTCCTTAAAGAGGGCGTGTACACACACAGGGGCAGGTGTGGGGACCATCTCGGAATTTCTGCCTACCACTCTTTCTGTGACTCAGTCCCCTCAGCTCTAGAGCACCTGCTAACTCATTCCCCATTTCCTCAGATACTCTATTTTCCTGACGACCTCTTAGGCCAGGATAAATAAGCTCACTTTACCGCTACCTTAACCCTGACTTACAGGTTTCATTTTCTCTTGAAAACCTTTTCTTTTGGGTTCCATTCATCCTAAATTAAGTGCTTCCTTCTTGTAAAATCATCCAATTGAGGCCCTCCCTGGTGGCACAGGGGGCTAAAGCACAGCACTAAAAAGCTAAAGCCATTTCAGCATGAGTTTGAACCCACCCACTCCAGAGGTGAGCCACATGGCACAGCAGACCTCTGCTCCCGCTGCTCCCCTCAGCAGTGTACTTCATCAGTCACCCCACTCTGTCTCTTGTGAATCCTCTCACCTCCCCTGCACCTCTGGCTTGTACCTCAGTTCTGTATACATAAGTAAATAAATCTTTAAAAAAAAAATTCATTCAGTTGAGCAGCTTTTTAAAAAATCTTAAAAAAACTAAAATGGACTTCATTTACATGCAGTAAAATTTATTTGTTTTAGTTTATAGTTCTGTGAGTTTTGAGAAATGCACCAGGTCAAATAACTCACCACAATTGAGATAAGAACAGTTCCTTACCACAAATGTGCCTTTGTGCCTTCTACGGCCCATCTTTGCCCCAATTCCTAGGCCCTTGAAACCACTGATTTTTTTCCCTGACCTTAAAGAATTTGCTCTGTCCAGAATGTATTCTAAGGGAAACAAGTACCATGTAACGGTGGTACATCTGCAAATCTTCACACAATTCAGGTAACGGTGGTACATCTGCATATCTTCGCACAATTCATTTACTTTTCACCCATATTGTTGAGTGTGTCAGCAGCTTAATTCCTACAGTCAAGCAGGGTTTCATGATATGGATATGACATCATTTTTAAATCTCTTCATCATCTGAAGGAGACTTGGTTTTTTGCTTTTGGGGATGATTGTGAACAAAGTTGCTATTAATGTTCACATGTTTCATGTATACTTATTTCTTTCTATTGGCAAGATATAGAGGAAAGTAATCTTTGCCTTGTTCTCAGGGTGCTATAGACTTTTTTTTTTGAAGGTGTTCTTTATCAAGTTAGGGCAATTCTTTCTAGCTTGTTTAGAGGTGACTACTGATTAATCTCAGTGTGAAGTGAATGTAATGCTTTGTGCAAGAGAACTTTATTAAAGAGGTTACTCAGAGGCAAATTGAGGACCTGAGCCTGGGAGATTGTTATGAGTCCTCATCTCAGAGCCTGGTTTCAGGTTATACAGGTAAGTTTTATATACAGGAAGAATACTTAACTGTTTTTAACAAAGAAGTCATCTTTTTAACTTCTCATATTTTTTCTCTGTTTTCTTTATTATTTTCTTATTGGCCTACCCCATCATCCCCCCAATTTCTCATATTTTTGGTGAGCTAAAAAATATTGGCAATCTAACAGACTTAGTTCATTGATACCTGAGAAATCCTGTTCATTATTTTAAAGTACTCCCTTGATCTTACAAAGTCACTTTAATCTTACAAAATCAGAACTGTTTGTTTGGAAAAAATATAAGAACTAAATGTTGTTTGACTTTCTTTCCTTTATTTTAAAAAAAGATTTATTTATTTATTTACTTATACATACAGAACTGGGTGCAGGGACAGTGAGAGGATTCACTGGAGACAGAGTGGGGAGCAGAACAGGCAGATCAGCAAAGTACACTGCTGAAGGGAGCAGTGGGTTTGTCAGAAGTCTGGTGCACCATGTGGATCGCCTCCCTGGCTGGGAGTCAAACTCATGCTGCAGTGACTTTAGCTTTGTAGTGCGGTGCTTTAACCCACTGCACTACCATGGAGGGTCCCTATTTTACTTTCTTATATGATAAAGTTCCCCAACAAATATGGAAGTCATAGTTGTACCTTGATCTCATGCTCCTTCCAGCAACTCATGAACATGACAAGGGCTGACTTGTCTGGCCTCTCCAGACTTTTCCTTGCTGCTTGTCATAGGAACTCTTCATTGCAAACAACTGTCTTTCTGATGTCAGACTGAGGCAACCCTGTCACCAGTATACCTGGAGACTTGCTGACGCTTTGATCCTGTAAAAGAACTAGGAGTTCTCTGATTTTCTCTACTGCTGTTTTGATTTTTCAGCTCCATTAGTTTAATTCTTACCTTTATTATTTCCTTTCTTTTGTTGTTATTTGGGGTTTAATTTTTTTTGTATTCCTGGTGCTTTTGTTTTCTAATACAAACATTTAATGCTATGAATTTTCCTCTAAGTAATTCTTTAGTTGCATTCACCAAATATCGATACATTGTTTTCCCTTTCCTTCAGTTCAAACTATTTTATAATTTCTCTTTTGACTTCCTCTTTTACTTGTGGATTATTTCCTATTGCTAAATTTCCAAATGTTTGGGACTTTACTGGAGATAGTCTGTATGGTTTCTAGTGTAATACTCCTGCAGAAACTATTATATGGATCCAGTCGTACTAAGGTTGTTGAGGCTTCTTTTACGGTGAGTCCTTGGTCAATTTTGCTGAAACTATCAAGATGCCATCTAAGTCATATTAAATAATATAGTTGTCTCTCTGATTTCTAATGTCTTTTTTCATTATTTATTTTCTCTAGTCTTTATTTTAACAAATTTTTCACCTAGAGTATACATTCTAACAACAGCATGCATTGTCATGTTTACATGATACAGTTTAGAACAATAATTGCATTTCTAAAAACTCCAGTAACACTGTTTTCATGATTGCTATATCTAGACAGGCATTTTCAAATCAATATTTTTTTTCTAGGATAGGGGTATATAACTCCTACACATAGTTCTACTGGAAGAAAAGGCTATATAGCACATTCATTATTTCTGTTCTTACACACTGTGTATTTTAGCTTTTGTCCCACACTCAAATCCTGGAGGAATCAATGGTGACTACAGTGTCACTTCTCATTCTTTATTTCCAAATGTTCCTCCTCTTTTCTGTTACCAAGGTGACACAGATCATCTCCTGAGAGATTACCTCATGTGACAGCCTATGCACTCTTGCAGGGCAAGCTTTCCACTAATTAAATATCTTTGGGAATGAGTGGAAAATCGTCTTCGGAGACTGGGGTATGATGTGAAGAGCACTCGGCTCATAGTACAGGTGTGATTCTCATCTGAGGATGAGTTCATTTGGATGTCAGGTTAGACTTGAGCTGACCATCCCTTTATATGCTTGAGCTCTTCCAACATTCCTGAGAGCAGAGACTTATTTAAAAGACAAAAACAAAAACCAAGCAAGCTAATAAGCACCACCAAACAAGAGAACAGGGCTCTTTTGCATTTTCCTCAAGGTGTTTGGTGTGCCTGCATTCTTCCAGAGCTATTCACAGGGAGCAGACATTTCAAAAACAACTCAGCAGAAACAATGGCCACTTATGTGTTTCTTTTTATTCCTTTAGAAATTTCTGAAGGACAGTCAGGATC